TAAAATTAATTTCAAAAAAAATTTAGTTTGATATTTCTATTAAAAAAAAAATTTAAAAATCATCAAATCCTGGCCAAGGGTGGAAAATCTGAGATGCTCCCACACTGAGGGATCAAATCTTGAAGATTTTGTTAAAAAAAAAAAATCAGTTTAAAAAAAAAAAAATCTGTTTTTTTAATTCTGTCTTTTATTTAAATTCTATTTTTTAATTCCCCAAAATTTAAAAAAAAACCCCACATTTTTTAAATCATAAATCCCATTTTTAGCTCACATTTCCAGAGTTTAAATCAGCAGCAGCAAAAAAAAAAAAAAAAAGGAGGAAAAAAAAAAAGGGGGGAAGGAAAAGCCAGAACAGGTAAAATAAAAAATATCCAGGTGTTTTATATGGAAAATCATGGATTGGAAATTCCGAAATTCAGAAAATTCAGGAAAATTCTGGATTTTTTTGGAGCTGGAGTCATTTCCAGGAGAAAATTCGGAATTTGAGGAGCTCTCCCAGAAATCCAAAAAATTCAGGAATCTGAGATGTTCCCACACCGAAGGCTCAAAGCTCAGAAAATTCTGTTTAAATCAGAAATGCAGAGGGAATTAAATCCTGAAAATTCAGGAAAAAAAATCAGGAAAATCCCAAATTTGGGGAAAATCAGGATTTGAGGAACTGGAGGCTCTTGGGGACATAAAAAAAAAAATTCAGGAAAATCCTGGATTTTAACCAGGCTTTCCCAAATGCAGAAAATTCAGAAAAATCCTGGATTTGAGGATTTTGAGGCTCTTGGGGACATAAAAAAAATTCGGGATAATTCTGGATTTTCCCCAGGCTTTCCCAAATCCAGAAAATTCAGGATAATTCTGGATTTTCCCCAGGCTTTCCCAGCTGCAGAAAATTCAGGAAAATCCTGGATTTGAGGATTTTGAGGCTCTTGGGGACATAAAAAAAATTCAGGAAAATCCTGGATTTTAATGAGGCTTTCCCAAATGCAGAAAATTCAGGAAAATCCTGGATTTGAGGATCT